CTGGGAGCACATACCTTGTTCCTCAAGTTGTCAATGTGCGTTCCCTAGCTCAGTGCCAAAGTGTCCATCACCAGCTGAACTGACAACTGCAGTTTGGTAAAAAAGCACTCCGCTGCACATGACCCTCCTGTAGCCGCCAGGTCAGATAGTTGATGATTTGGGGAGGAATGTGGCGAGTTGGCTTGTGAATATGAACCTGAGTTTATGTTGCACAACACATGTTCATGGACCATTTGGCCCAGCAGTTTCATACAATTTTTGGCTACTGTGATAGGGGATAACTGCAGCTGTTCTACAATCCCCCTTACTGCTAGGAACCTGGGCCTGGGGAGAGAGGCTCTGGCTTGGGTCATGTCCAACAAGGAGCCCACAAACTCTATCCACTGCATGGGGATAAGGGTGGATTTGGCCTCTTTCAACATGAGCCTCAGTTGGAGGAATTCAGCTCTCACCGCTGGAGGGACAAGGCTCCCCAGAGCGAGGCAGGCTCCCGCCCCAGGGCTTTGGGCTCAGCTCGCCAAGCTCATCCCTGCCCATCCCCCTTGGCCGCTGCTGCCTACAGTGCCCACCTCCCCATCGCAGGCCGAACGTCTCTCTGGCCTGGCCAGGGCTGAGTAAATCTGCTGTGAAAAGGGGGGGATCTGTGTGTGTTGACATCACGTTTCGCAGCAGGTAGGCTCACTAGCGGGGACGCTCTGAAAACTGACACCAACCTGCAACAAAAACAGGACTGTGGAGCACTTTAAAGACTAACAAGATGGTTTATTAGCTTTCGTGGGCCAGACCCACTTCCTCAGATCAAATTGTGGAAGAAAATTGTCACGACCATATATACCAAAGGATACAATTTTAAAAAATGAACACACATGAAAAGGACAAATTGTATCCTTTGGTATATATGGTTGTGACAGTTTTCTTCCACTAATTGATCTGAGGAAGTGGGTCTGGCCCACAAAAGCTCATCCTCTAATAAACCATCTTGTTAGTCTATAAAGTGCTACATAGTCCTGTTTTTTGTTTCAGCTACACCAGACGAACATGGCTACATTTCTATCACCAACCTACAAGCGCTTCAGGGGGTAGCCGAGTTAGTCTGTTACAGAAAAAACAACAGCAAGCAAATGGTCTGCTAGCACTTTATAGACTAACAAAACACGAAAGCTCATGATACCATCTACATGTTTTGTTAGTTTATCAAGTGCTACCAGACCATTTGCTTGCTGTTTTTTTTACCAACCTACAAGTGTCAGGTTTCATAGTCGTGATTTGAAAGGTTAATCGGTACGCATCACCCTTAGCGGGTGATGCTTATTGGTTCTGGTTAACCAGTACAGGCTGGAACCTGCTTGTGGACAGAGGCTGCTCCAGAGTAGGGATGTAAAATTGCTCTTAATCGGTTAACTGGTTAAACATTACATTTAAATGGTTAACTAATTAAACAACATTTTGCATCCCTATTTCATAGCAGCAGACTTACCAGCTAGCAAATCTTTAATAAAAAAAAAAAGGCAGCAGAAATGATGACAAATCCGAGACTGTGCAAAGCACCTTTTTTGTGTTTCTATTCTGTTTAGGTCCAGTAAAAAATAGAGACCACTGTACTAGGGATGTTAAATATCGGTTAACTGAATAGTCAATTAACCTCATTAATTCTTAGCGGTTATTCGACTATTCTATAATCCTCGGGGGCAGGGCCAGCAGCCAGTGCCTCTGTGTCAGAGGCAGCCGCACAGGGTGCCAAGCGGGAACTGGCCCGCAAGGGGAGACAGTTTAAAAACCAGCTCCCTTGTGGACCAGCTGCCTGTCACCCCACACTGCTTCTCAGAGTGGGGGTCTGAGCTTCTGGATCTAGCACCAGCCAGGATTGAGCTGGGCTGCCTGCCTGCCCAGCTCCTAATACACTTTAAATGCAGAGCCACAGCAGGGATAGGTCCTGGGCTCATCGTAAGCTGGGAGTGAGCCGGGCTGCTGGCTAGCCTACTAAAAAATTACTGATGGTGGGGGCAATGCATATAGTCTATAGGATTAATTTATAAGCTTTTGCTTATCAATTAAATGATTATACTATTACATCCCTACACTGTACATTATTTTTATTATTGAGTCTGTGGGAAAAAAAACAATTACATTGATTTGTGTATGTGCATATTTATTTTTCTAAAATGAATTATTTTAGGAAACATTTTCAGAGCAGCCACCAGCAAGTGTCATGGGCACTGGAAAAATGTGTATTGTGGAGGTTCCCGAACCATTCAACCATGATCTAAATCAGTGGTTCTCAACCTTTTTTTATAAAATTAAATTTGTGTGTGTGTGTATATATATATATATATATATATATGTACTGCCCAGTACCTACGGTTTTCAGACACATAAAAACATTTTCTACCATTGCAACACATTCGTTTAAACAACTTAGCTGGACGGGCAATGAAATTTTTGGGTGTAAAAAGTACAAAAAAATAAAGCACTGTAAAACTTAAAGATTCAGTTTTATCCAAATTTCAGTTGTTGATCTTCTCTCGAGTACCTCTAAGGGTACATGTACCACTGGTTGAGAAACACTGCTCTAAACCATGTATAAGATGAAAACCTCTTCAAGCCAGAAATGCATTAGCACCTATGGCAAGAGTTGGTTGCTGCACTCTGAGGCCAACGGCTCTTGTCCTAGCCCATGAACTGGGCCTGGCCTAGCTCAGTAGCAGTGAAAAAGACTCAAAGTCTACCTCTTTCCATGCAGGGGAGAGTCTGGCTGGCTTCCCATCGGTGGTCAGCCCTGTGAGGTGGGCATGGTTTGATGTGCACAAGGGGTTGCCCTTGCCAGCGGGGTCTGGTCTGTAGAAATGGTGTTGTGTGATGCAGTTTCCAACTTGATTGTCTTTCTAGTGGCCAGCCCTGGACTCAGTTTGAGATATAAGGTCTGAATTTGAGAGTCAAGCTGGGTTCCTTTAACTATGCAGAATTCATTGGGGGGGGGGGGGGTTAATTGAAAGCTGGGGCGGGAAGTCCCTCCCTTAGAAAAATTTTGTTTTTGTCATAGAAGTTAGCTACCATGACTGAAATAGGACTAATTACAAGGTGTTATTCCTGTGTGGCACTTTTCTAACTATAATCACATTTTAATCTCTTCTCTAAACCTACAATCTTTTCTGGTATGTTGAACAGAGAATTTTTAGAAAACCAAGCAGAAGCATATTATTTAGCATTTTTAGTGTATTCCTTTTTTTCTTTTCCTTTTGTTATACAGTATGCTATTTAAAAAGAAAGTGACATTCTGATGTAGTTAGGTAGATTTTATTTGTCTTGAATAACTAAAAACACTTTAAAAATTGGGAGGCTTGATTGTCTGGTGACTAGAGCAAGAATGTGGGAGTCAAGATTCCAGCATTCTTTTCCAAGTAACTCATTCTGCAAACTTGCTTTATGGATTCAGTTTCTTCGTCTTTAAAATAGAAATAATGTCTTTGACCCAAGAGTATTCTGAGGCTTAATTCAGTTATTTTTAATGCACTTTAAGATGCTTGATTGAAAATGTTGTATAAATGCAAAACACTAACACATACATTATTTAATTAAGTGCACTTGTTCGTTGGGAATTTGAGTGAAGGCTCCTTTCATTACAGCGCTCAGAAGATCTCTTGCCATGACCTATACAGTCTTTTCATAACTATTTCCTGTAGCAGTTGTTTGAATGCCATAAAGTTTTGCCAGGCAGAGTGTGACTGTGAGATGCCAAGACTGGTATGAAGTGACAAAATTATTAATAGGCAACTCATTCATGGAATGCACTGATCACATATCATTTCCGGCAAGGGATATAACATCTTTTAGAAGCATGCTGGCATGTGCAGTTTTCAGCATCACAGTTTTCAGAAGTGATGTCCATCACTTTATCACCTTTAGATTTTATCATATTTTAAAAGATTTGATATTGTAAAATTAGCTTCAGAAAAAGCATGTGAGCAGAGCAACAAAGCTCTGTTTACTTTACCATGCTTTTTTGTATATAACAGAAATAGATTAGACTTCTCAGATATCAGTAAGTGGGTCTAAGTATATAGCAGAGTCTTTGGTGAATAGCTCATATTCAGACTTGCTTCCTATTTTCTTTGAATTGTATTAAAAGTAGGGATATTTGAGGGTAAACAACTAACAATTTAACCAATAAGAGGATGCAAAGGCTTCCAACTCCACTTCTGGGAAGGAGACTTCACTGTGGCAGCAAAGCCTCTTCCCCGAGAGCCAGTCTGGTGGCCCAGCTCCTGAAGAAGGCTTCACTGCAGGCATCACAATATAAAGCAGGAAACCGCAGTGTATCTGTTAATCTTGCCGACTACACGCATTTCTCCCCTCCTCACTGCATCTGTATCAGACGTAGCAAGGGGAGTGAGCGGGAGCTGGTGCCCGTGAGGTGCTGGCTTTAAGCAGGCTCCCCACGAGCACTGGATTCACACTCCCACCCGTACTGCTGCCTCTGATATGCGAGGGCAACCAGAGCAGCCCCTGCCTGTGGCGGGGAGGGACGGCGCTCCGGCCCAGTCACAGTAAGTGGGAGGTGCCACTCCAGCTCATCCTGCCAGTGCCCTTTAATCAGTTAACAAGTGAAAAGTGAAGTTACTCACCTTGGTGCAGTAACTATCGTTCTTCGAGATGGTGTCCCCGCGGGTGCTCCACTGTGGGTGCTGGACTTGCCCCGGCACCCACAGTGGAGCACTCGCGGGGACATCCTCGAAGAAGAACATAATTAACAGGTTAACCAATTATGCGGGATTTTATATCCCTAATAATTTCATGTTTGTTCATGATAAATAGCTTGCATCAAGGTCATTACATGAGCTCCTAACAGTAGGTACTCACTGAGAGTTCAGTGTATTATCATTTACCTTCAGATGGCTACTTTGTCACTCTTCAAAAACAATAAATAGACCTTGAGTGTAGCTTGCTAATGGGTGCAAAGAAATAATTGCTGCAAAGATTTATTCCAATACCTTATTTCTAGGTGGAAGAGCTGGCCCTTCAATCTATGATTAGCTCCAGAGAGAAGAATGTCTCTCCACCAAGTATCACAGAGGAGACTCAAAATGTAAGGAACTCTCCTGCCTTTTGAAAGAAAGAAGGTTCACTCATTTCTCATGTAATATTACACAGATGTATATGTATCAAAGAATATGAAAGCAACAAAATATTGTCTGTTCATGTTTGAGTCTCTGTAGATGAGGAAGGTTCTGGTAAACATTTTACCTAAGGTTCTTAATCTGTTACGCTACTCACCAGCTAAGAGACAATGAAATTATTTCTCCCTCTTTTCCTCCTAACACCATGTTGTTTCTGGAAGTTGCATTGCAAAACTTTACTGCGTTTTAATTCCTGATCAGTAAAGTAAGCAAGTATAAAGTTTTGGCTGTAACTTTGTTTAGCCAAGATACTAGAAGAGATGGAAATTTGCATTGTTAAATAGTAACTCTGCTAAATATATGATCAGGCAAGAAATAGTTAAAACGATACTGTGGCTGCTTACCAGCTTAGTGGGCTTCATTATTCAGTGAGTCCAGTTCAGAATGGTCTCCCTCTTAAAAGGTTGTTGAGGCTCTGAATGGTGACAAAGGATATTAGCATTGTGAGATCCTCAGAGGGAAGATGCAATAGAAGTGCTCAGTATTACTATTCCTCTTGATAATTGATAACTTGACCTTGTTGTTATACCAGACTCTTGGGCAGATGGACAATGAGGCTGCTATCAATCAAACTGAATTGCAGCTAAGTGTTCAAGACCATGAGGAGGAGGAGGAAGAAGATGAATCAGACTCTTGAAGGGATGGAAAAATGGGAAACAGATTGGTCTTATTTATCCTAGACTCAGGAAATTCCCTTCTGTTCAAGCAAAACTTCCCTTCAGATTCTGCTTGGTGCTGTACACAGATACGAACTACACAAATGAATGAAAATTATTTTTGGAAGGTTCCAGCAATGTTAGATTGGTGGCATAGATGACACAAGCTTGTCAGAATCTTGTTTTGTATGTTAAAAGAACGAAAAGTTGTTGCACAAATATGTAGCATGATTCCTTTTACATTTAAAGCCTAAAAAGTAGATTACTACTTGTTTGTATATAGGTGGAAAAAGTTAACCTAGTTAACTAATTTAGTGCACTAAAAGCAATAACTATTCCAACTGTTATTCCACAAAGGTGGAGATTTGGTGCATTACTGAATAATAAGATTGGACTTCAGAAGCTCACCACCCAAATAATGGTACTGTAAAATCTCATTTTTATAGACTGGGACTATTTTGCTATACAAAAGAGGAAAAAAAGGTCTGTCTGTTTGTTTGCTGTCTGATGAATTCTCATCTGTATGGAAAATGAAATGTCACAGTTTGTCTATAAATATGACAAGTGTAGGGACTCTTATATTGGGAGCAGGAGCTATTATCCTATTAACTCTCAATGTTAACTCCACTTTAAACTGAAAGTCCAAGTAGCCTTTTTCAGAACTCCTGGTGTTATCCGCATGCCGTGCTGTCAATCTAAATACAAAAGTGAAGGAAAAATGTATTTTAAACAAGACATAAAATGCAAAATTCCAGAGAAGTTACTGGTAAAAAGGAGCAGCCAGTCAGCATCTACGTGTCCCTAGATTGTACAATAAAAGCTGTTTCACAAGAGATCCCCTAAGAGGAGATAATATTTTTGAACTATTTTGTCTCCCTTTTCCCATAGCAGAGCTCACAGTCCCCATAAACATATCTTCTGCTTTTGAGCTGATGCAAAAGGAAAGCTATAGGAAATTATGGTGATCTAGGCAACGAAAAATTATGGCACTTCCAGAATTCATGTAATGTTATACTAATAAATTAATGTTGAGCTTAGCAGACAAAGCATTTCCTCTGCCTGATGACTTGCAGGTACTAAATCACTGCAGCGGATTCTTGTATCATTCCTTAAATAGATGTTAGAACACACAGAAAATTGAACTTGTTACCCTGTTAAAAATAAAAGTAGTATCTTAATTCAGACACCCCTGCCAACCTCTGATAATAAGAAAATATTTATACACTAGATTTTTTTTAAATCTGGTATATAAAATGTGCATAAGCATTCTAGTGTTGATTATATGATATGAAATTTAAAGTTATGTTGATGTCTCTCCTAGCAATGCTAGCCTCACACAAAAGCTTAGTAGAAACCAAAATTGTCATTTTACTTATTTAACAAAGAGGGAGGGGGAAGTTTGCCATATGTTCTGTGTTCTAGGTGTGATTGTAAAACATGATCCAACTCTTAGTTCCTGCACCTGAGTGTATGAAAATATTTGAGCCAGTAGTTGATTGGCTCTTGATTAAAGCTTAGCTTTAATTTGTAGTTATGGATATTAAGTTTTAGGAGGTAAGTATAGCATTTTCTGTTGCAGAAGATCAGCCTGGCTCTGAGTAATTCTGTAATTGAAGTTTCAATCTTGTATTGCAGGATGAATTGCAGACTTGCCCCCAAACTCATTACAGCTGGGGTTGGCTAAGCCGAATGTTTCTAGGCCAGAGATGTCCCAAGTTTAGGTTAGGATGACAAAATAAACTGTTTTAAAAAATGTATTCTCTTGTACATGTAGTTTATAAGGGTAGCAGGACATGACCTGTGTTCCTTTGTTTTGTAGTGATGAGCATGTTTGCTGGCACTTAATTCTGTTTTCTCCCTTATATCCTGAGACATTGACAGCTTTTTGGTTTCATTTTTCTAGTCTAAACACAAAGTAAAACATGTTTTGTAACAGTTACCCTTAGGCCTCATTTACTCTAGAAAATGTTGACATGTTATTATTGGCTCGGTGTCTACACACACTTGCTACCATTTTGTAGGTATGCTGTGTACTATTTGTTAGCCTTGCTATGATGAAGTCAAAATACCACTTGTTCTTAGCCTGTGCTTGCTGTTATAAAATTGAAGGGCTAATGTACACAAACACTAGCTAATTAGCTTGCATGTTACATTTAGGCCCCCTGTCACTGTTCCACTGGGATCAAATGCATTCGAAGTGGTTAAGATGCTGCTGGATGTATAAATGTTGGCAAAATAGGATTTGTGTTCTGTGAGTTCTGGGCCACTGCTACTGTACATATGGTGTAGTTTTCTACTATACACAGGACCTTAGCCTGAACAGCTTTTAAACTCCAGTTAAACATGCTGTGCACTGGGGGACCAAACAATCTGGATTTAAGACAGGCA